CGGGCACTGGGAAGAGGCTGTGCTGATGAACAGATGAACTCTGAATCTTTTCTAATCCCAGATTTTAACCTACTGCTTTCTAACACACTCCTGATTATCAGTATGGGCTATGGAGTTTGTGTGGCCATCGCCAGGAACGAGGGACCCAGCAGAGAAACTGAGTGTCATGGGAGGAAGGGTCGGTGTGAGAACTGGTAAACAGGCCGGAGGGCAGAGGCATGTCTGAGCTCGGCCTCGTGGGAATCAGCCTTGGGTTGTTGGTCTAGATCCTCCTCAAGCATTGTGAAGTTAAGGAGATCAGAAGCTTCCACCTTGTCGTTTTTACTTCAACAATGGCAACATAGACAAGTCACCCAATGCTTTCAGGGCTGGGAGGGAATACAAACAGAAAACTAAGAGAAACGGCCTTGTTGGAAGGCTACAAAGAAAGGAGACAGGCGGACTGAGTAGGAAGCTCCTCTCTGTCGCCCCGGGAGTTTCTAGGTGTTAATAGTGAATGCATTGGGGGTTCGAGTCCACCCAGAGGCACCTCAGAAGAAAGACCTGGTGATCTTCTTCTGAAAACTCAGCCACCGAAAGCCCCCTGGAGCATAGTTCTGTTCTGATACACTGAGGGGGTCCCGTGAGTGAGTTGTAATCCTCTTGATGGCAGATGGTTTTCATTCTGTTTACAAGTCACGATGTCTCCAGTTTGACATAAAACCAAAAAAATCCCCAAACCGCTGCCACTGAGTCAGTTCTGAGCCATGTTGTTGTTAAGTGCCGTGGAGTTGGTTCCAACTCACAGTGTCTCTGATAGGGTTTCCACGGAGTGGCTAGGAGGTTTGAATTGCCAACCTTGAGGTTAGGAGTCCAGTGCCAATCCTATAGCCCCACACCAGGACTCCAAGTCATAAGGACTCTGTAAAGACAGGGTAGAACTGCCCCAAAGAGTTTTCGAGGCCATCAATCTTTACAGAAGCAGTGGATTTGAACCCCGTACCTTTTGGTTAGCAGCTCAGTGATTCACCACCGGGCCACACTAAAACCAAATGGAAATTACAGAAAGCTTGTCAGCCATTAAAATCATGTTAGAATCCCTCAAAGGTTATATTCTTATTATGTCCCCAGGAATAATTCCCTTACAGTAATGCTTTAAAAAATGTTTTAAACAAAGCAATTAAGCAAGCTTTGCACACGGTCTAAGAAAACGTATCTCTGTAAATGACTAGAGACTGCATAAAAATAGTCTTCACTGAACATTCCACGGACTCTCTTCAGAACAGAAGCTGTAATATGCTTCACTCCAGGGTCAGCCTGAGCCAGGGGGATCCAGCCCTCTGTCCCCATGGGGACCCCCATGGACAGACTGTGGTGGAACTCCCCCCGCCCGGGTGGCGTTCCATCAGCCGCTAGGCTTCCAGCAAATCAAATGCCGGGAAAGCCCCATCTAATGCCATCTTCCTGAATTCTGGAATGTTGCCCACATTCACAGCTACCTTGATCTTAATATAAAAAGACTCCCTGTATGTCAAGATCAGTGTGCTGAATAATGGATAAGCACTGGACTGTTAACAGCAAGGTCAGCAGTCAAGCCCACCAGCTGCTCTGAGGGAGAAAAATTATTTACAGCTTCAGAAACCCTAAAACAGGGTCTATGAGTTGGAATCAACTCATTGGCAGTGGGTGGGTTGGCGGGGGTCCCTACGTTCTTATGCAGGTCAAAAAAAGTGGGTGGCAACCAGAGATTTCACAGCAGATACTTGGACTAGAATAACCCCCAGCCCAGTCGGCTTATCCCCCTGCCTCTCGGTCGAAGAGTCCTGGGGTCTTGGGGCACATGCTGGATACCTGTGACATGTCAGAGCTTCATAATCTCACCCACCACCCCTCTTCCACAGATTCACTGATGGACTCATCCTGGGAGGAGCTAACAGCACACTCAGCTGCGAGCCCAAAGGTTACAGATTCGAGTCCAGCCAGAGGGACCTGGAAGTAAAGTCAGTCATTACTCTGACACACATGCAGTCACATTGAGTCGAGAGCTGACTTCTTGTCAGCTGTTTTTTTTGGAGTCCCTGGGTGATAAAAACGGTTAACGTGTTCCGCTGCTAACTGGAAGGTGGAAGGTTAGGGTCTGCCTAGAGGTACCTCCGAAAAAAAAAAGCTGGTAATCTACTTCTGAAAACCCAGCCATTAAAACCTCTAGGGAACACACACGTGGTCGACTGGAAGGCCACCCGTACTAGCGTCTCACAATCCAGGCTGTCTTGTCTGTCTGCTCCCCCAGCCGGTTTCCTTTTAGGAAGAATGACTCATATTTACTCCCAGATAATTTACAAAGCAAATTACATTTCACTTAACAATTCCAATCCATCTTATTCAAGGACCCTTGGTGGCACTGAACTGCGAACCACAAGGTCAGTAGTTCAAACCCACCAGCTGCTGCTCAGAAATCCTATACTATGAGTCACTATGAGTCAGAACCAATTTGACGGCATTTCACAACAACAATATGCATGCTGTAGGATAAGTACTAGAACATTCCTCACAAGGTTGTCAGTTCCAGCCCACCAGTGGCTCCCCGGGAGAAAGATGAGACTTGTCTGTTCCTGGAAAAGTTTACATCTCAGGAACCCCATACAGGATCACTATGCATTGTGGGGTGGTTGTAGGATAAACACTGGATTGCTCCCCACAAAGCTGTCAGTTCAAACCCACTCGCATCTCCTCAGGAGACAGATGAGACTGTTTCCAGAAAAGTCCCCAGTCTCAGAAGCCCTACACAGGGTTGCTATGAGTAGGACTGGGTTCTATGAATTACACCTGACAGAAAGATGGATTACACTTTTCACCATGTGTCAGCGGTCTCATTATTTCTAAATCCGTGCTCTGTTTCCATTCCTCGTCCTTGCTCCCCTCTAACCTTGTCATCTTTGATCTAGGGTAAATGTTGGCCTTCACATCTCACTGAAATGATTGTTTACAAGAACTCATGAGTCACGAGTGAGATTACTTATTTTATGAGCCACTCGGCTGCTGGTGACCTCCAGGAGCGGTTTGCATTCCAGGCTTAAAGGGTATCCCAGAGCAGTAGTTTCAGGGGTCCCTCTAGTTTCTTCCAGTCAAGTAAATTTGATCTTTTTTTTTTTAGGAGTTTAATTTTTTTTTTAGTTCAGTCCTACATTTTCCTCCCCTTCTACCTGGGAACATCTACTGTGTCCCTGGTGGGAGTGGTCAGTGTTGATGGTTGGGCACCATCTAGTTCTTCTGGTCTCAAAGTCGGCTGGCATGATTTATACAGACAGACTATAGTCTCATAGACAAGTTTCTTCTTTGGGGACCTTGTCATTTTAAAAATCCAGCTCTCAGTAAATTGTTTTAGGACCCCAACCAAACCATGCCATTTACACCTAATTCTCAGCCCTGACCCAATGAGTTGGGTTATAACATAAGAAAGCAATTGCTCATGACCAGAATATGAAAAATAATCCGTTTATTGTTCACCACAACTCTGGGCCTAATACAGTCTCAAGAGTCCTTCAACTTGCCTCTTCGTTTCAAAAGAACATTTAAGGCACTGCTCAGAGTTGTAAGCATAAAGCAGACAGCACAGGGGAAGGCTATGCAAACCAAGCTCACTGCCGTTGGGACAGCGTAGAAACCGCTCTCTCATGCTGCTGAGACTGGGGGCAGTGGAAAAGGAGAGGGAGAACAGATCAACTGGAAAGAGAGAAACACAAGGGTCTAATGTTCAGTCCATTGTACATCGAGTAGAAGGCTGCTTTTACTCACTGAGTTTAATGAACATTTATTTAGCACCTACTTGGTGAGGGGGCTGACGGCACCAAGGAAAGATGATGTTACTGCTGTTAGGGTGCTGGGTGTACAACAACAACAACAACAACAACAAAAATCTAAACGTGCTGTTGATTCTAACGTATGGCGACTCCAAGTGTTACAGAGCAGAACTACTCTGTAGAGTTTGCTTGGCTCTCATCATTACTGAAGCAGATCTCCAGGTCTTCCTTCTGAGGTTCCTCTGGGTGGGTTCGAACAGCCAATCTTTACATTACCAGTTGAGTCTAACCCTATTGTGCCACCCAGGGATCACCAATAGTATGCACTGTGACTCCTAATACTTGCAGTTAAGGGATCCTGATGGCGCAGTGGTTAAATGCTTGGCTGCTGATTAAAAGGTCAGAGGCTTGAACCCACCAGTTGCTCCTTAGGAGAAAGATGAGGCTTCTGTACAGATATGTTGTTGTTGTTGTCAGGGGCCATCGAGTCGGAACCGACTCATAGCGACCCCATGCACAACAGAATGAAACAATGTCCGATCCTGGGCCAACCTCATTACTGCTGCCACACTTGAGTCCATCAATGATGCCACCTGGCCAATCCATCTTGTTAGGGGTCTTCCTCTTTTTCTCTGACCCTCCACCTTACCCAGCCTTGGAATCCCCCAGGGCCAGCCCCCCTATGTCCTATAGGGTTGCTGTGTGTCTATCGGAATCGATGAATGGCAGTGGGGAAGTAGTTCTCAGGATCTGATGTATATACCTGTCTTCCCTTTCTGTAACATTCGTACCCTCTACCTTACTGTTACCAAACTCATGAAAAGAGAACGTAAACTTACTTCCTTATTACAGTGGGGTTTCATGACTAAGGAACATTCATAACATGTTCCAACAAAACAAGAGAAATGGTTACTGTCCAAACGCTTAATTGAGAGTATAAAAAATTTCATCATCTGAATGCTAATTTGGCAGCCTTTTATGTAGGAAAGTTCCCGGGTTTTAAAATAAAACCAAAACCAAACACATGACATTGAGCTGGTTCCATCTCCTAACGACCCTATAGGGGCGACCTTATTGTGTTCCTAAACCTGTCATCTTTCCCAGAGTACATTGCCTCATCTTCATCCCACAGAGCAGTTGGTGGTTTTGAACCGCCGACCTTTGGCTAGCAGCCAATCACTTGGCCACTGCACCACTAGGACTCCATCCCCAGAGGCTCACCTTTGACGTCGTTAAAGCTCGTCTCTGAAAACCCCTGGCTTAGGTCGATCAGGGTCCCCTCAGACTTGCAGCGCGGGAGGCCACTGGAGTTGGCAGCTCGGATCCGCTGAGCTGCCATCTTGGAGCGTTCTGGTTGGTGAAGAAGCACTACGGTATCATTTCTTCCTTCAGTCACTCCAGCCGTTGAGGAAGCAAGTGAGCCTCACCGTGGTATCAACCGGGCGTCGGGCCTCTTCCTAAAGGGAGGAGGGGAAAGGCATGTCCTGTGAGCCGGGGAAGCATGATGGGCCGGCCAGACATCTGATTGGGCAGTGGGAATCCTCTTTTTTCCAGAGGACGGGCCAATGGAGCCCCATTCATTTGTCCTGAGAGGTGGGCAGTACCCGCTGCCCAGTGCCCTGGGCACACACAGCTCCACAGTGTTTGCTAGTCTGGGGTCTGCACTCCCTCTTCCTGGGGCACAATGGGGTTTGTGCGGGATTCTTCCAGCACCTGGGCAGCCCATTCATTACAGTCTGAGAGGAGGACAGATGGGGTTTGTACAGTGCACACAGCCTGCTCTGGGCCCAGGAAGAGAAAACCCCGTCTGCGTCTTCCTGGATAATGGCTGGTCTCATGGGGGGAACCCCGAGGGGGCAGCTCTCAGAACAGCGCCTCTTTCATGGCCCCCAAGCAGTGGGGTTTGGGGGTCAGTTAGGAAACCACGGTGCTTGCTCCCTGCCCCCATTCTCCTTAAATCCCCCTTGGAGCCCAAATGAACAGCCAATAATACATTAGCACACAAGTGACTGTCTCAATATGGAAGGTATTCCCCATGCGACGTATACCCATCGATCCCTGGAGTGTTTATGACCCACTGCGCTCTCACTCAGATACCCTGGTGGCATTGTAGGGTAAGCACTAGACTGCTCACTGCAAGGTTGGCAGTTCAATCCCACCAGCTGCTCCTTAGGAGACAAAGGAAGGAAGTTGTCTTCTGGCCGTAAAGATTTCCAGCTTTGGAAATCCTCTGCAGAGCAGCTGTGAGTCAGAATCAACTCGATGGTCAAAGGTTGGTTTGGTGTTCTCAGAAGCAGTGGGTGGCCAGAACACAGAGTTACCCGTCCCACTGCTTTTTCTTGGAGGCGCACACAGGGCTTAGGCACATGGTGGTTCTGGAGATCAGTGGTACAAACGGTTAACACACTTGGCTGCTAACCTAAACATTTCAAGTTCAAATCTAGCCAAAGGTACCTCAGAAGAAAGGCCTGGCAATTTACGTCCCCAAACAACAAGAATCAGCTACTGAAAACCCTACAGAGTGCAGTTCTACTGATCTGCTTCCAAAAAGGTTACACTCAATGCCAAGGAAGGCAATATACAAGAAGGAGGTTGGCAGAAGAGTGATGAAGGCTGAGGAAGACATAGGCAATCTGAGAATGAAAGGGAATGGACATAAATACTATTATAGATACAACACTACAATAACAAGGGTGTTGGATACAAGCAGAAACGAAATCCACTGCCAGTCGATTCCGGCTTATAGGAACCCTACAGGGCACTGTTGGATAAGCACCGGACTGCTAACCACAAGGTTGGCAGTTCAAACCCACCAGTTGCTCCTCAGAAACTCTATAAGGAGAGTCCCTATGAGTCACAACTTCACAACCATACAACCACAAGCTGGGGTATAACTGGCCCTTGTCAGAAGGAATGGGGTGGCTATGCCTGGACAGGGCTATGTAGGCAGCTGGACACAGAAGACTGTCATTACTCAAGACACAGTGCTCTACTGTGGGCCAGGCAACTTTCAGAGCACAACCCCCACCCCCGGATACTAAAAAACGCCACTGGCCAACGAATCACTACCCCTACTCATGGAGAATCTGTGATTCAGAGGAGAACTGTGCTCCGCAGGGTTTTTAAGGGCTGAGTTTTGGTAAGTAGATTGCCAGACCTTTCTTCCGAAGTGCTCCTGGGTAGATTTGAACCTCCAGCCTTTTGGACACAAGTAACACTCTCCCAATCAGAATGAGCCTGCAGACAAGGACTAGCTCTTGGCTTCTCAGGATGAGTTCATCAATAACTCGGAAAGGGAATGATGCTACACTGAATTCTTGTGAGGAGATGATACGGAAATCCACACAGCGGAAAAAGGGGTGCATCTGTGTGTGGGTGGGGAGGGAGCATTTGATAATTTTGTGCTTATACCTAGTTTTTGCCGGTGGGGTTTCAAATGTAAAAATAAACAATCTTACCTAAGATTCTGAGTATTTTAGAAGTCTTTCAAAGATGCCACTTTGAGGACTAAGGTGTGCCAGACACAAGCCACTATATTTTCAATTGCTGGCCAAATGTATGCCAAAGCTGGAAAAGGAATAAGGAAGACTGGAGAAGAATCACTGCATTTGAATGATGATATTGGCTAAGAATACTGAATCTATCACAGACTGCCAGAAAAACAAATAAATCTGTGTTGGAAAAGAGTACGGCCAGAATGTTCCTAAGCAATACAGATGGCAGGACTTTATCTCATATACATCAGACATGTGATCAGGAGAGACCAGTCCCCTGAAAAAGGACATCATGCTTGGTCAAGTGAGGGGTCAGAGAAAAAAAGCAAGACATCCAATGAGATGGATTGACACAGAGGCTGCAAAGATTGAATGGACAGACTTGTGCCATCCGGGTGGTGTTTCAGTCTGTGGTCCATGGGGGTCCTTACTTGTTGGCACCTAACAATAACAACATTAAGAGACCTGATTGTTGTTGATGTTAAGTGCCAATAAGTCAGTTCTAACGCACAGCGTTTCTGTATAGGGTTTCCGAGAAGTAGCTGGTGGATTTGAACTGCTAACCTTGCCGTTTAAACTGACCTTGAGTCCCGCACATTACCTTGCAGTGCCACACCATGACTCCATAAAAGACCTGCAGTCCTTTTAAAACCATAAAGGCCCCTCTCCCTGCAAGGCTCAGAACAGTCAAGATTGTGCTTACTCCCCTCCCTACTCTCCTCAGGGCACTGAAGTGGGCAGTGGGCACTAGGGCTTCTTGTCCCCAGTCCTTTCAGTCCTCCAAATGGCTGTTCTTTCAGCACCAGTGAGGACAGTCCAGGGAATTTACCCCTGTGGGGGCCATGCCTGAGGCGCCCACCCAGATGCATGCAGAGAGCAAGTTGAAAGCCAGGCACCCTTCAAGCTGCACGGCCCCTGGACGCCAGAATCTGATGTCTAGTAAAGTTGTCTCTGTCCCTCCACCTGGACCTCTGTTCTCTCTCCTCCCCTGTCCACCTGCAGGTAGACCTCAGAGATGCTGTGCGTTTGGGTGCAGACAGGGCGATAAAGCCAGTCTCATGGCTCTTCAGTTTCCTGGGTGCTTTATAAAGGTGATGTTGACATTCTACGACCGGCTACGAAGTGTACAACCGCGTCATGGAAGAGTGAAGTACAGTAAGACTGGTCTCATGGGACACAGAGAGACACGAAGCTAGCGCACACTGTTGGAAAACCGGGATTGCTAGAGCTGCTGTTTACAGCCGGGGCACAAGCCTCCAATTGTTAAAAAACACAGTTTGTGAAGGGTCATCAGACACCAGCTGGCTGTACAATGCTTCCTCTTCCCCCTTCTGACCGTTAAGATGAGGTATGACCCCCTCAAATCAATCTCCTTCTGGGGACCTCTTTCCCAAACTCACCCTGAGTCCACCAGCACAACGCCTCTTCTGTTCCACTCCCCTTGCTGGGTCCTGTTCCAGACTGGAGCAAGTCTCCCGGCAAAGACAGGCTCAAGTCCTGGCCCCCAGGGTGCTAGAGACATATAAACTCTTGGATGCTACCGCTCTGTGACCCTATAGTAAAGGGTCGAACTGCTCTTTATGGGAGCAGACAGCCTCATCTTTCTCCCACAGAGTGGCTGGTGGGTTTGAACTACCGGCCTTGTGGTTAATAGCCCGATACTACTTAACCCACTGTGCCCCCAAGGTCTCTATGAGCAGGAATCGACTGAAAGGACAGTAGGTTTGGTTTTGGTTTTGGTAACTGAATGGCTGGCAGTTCAAAACCCACATAGAGTTCCCACGGAAGAAAGGCCTGGCAGTATGTTTCCCCAAAGTCACAGCCTTGAAAATCGCAGGGAGCGCGTCTACTCTGCCATGTGGTCTCCAGAAGTCAGAATCCACTTGACGCCAAGTGACCACCACCACCCAACAACCACCTCAGGAGGACTGAGAGCAATTTTTGTAGATGTTATAATACGAGGTCCTACCAAAGTTGGGAGGGTCTTAATCCTATCAGAGTGGAGTCCTTAGAAAGAAGCAAAGCTCGAGACACAGGGAGAAGAGGAACATGTGAACATACAGCTACAAACAGAGGGAAACCTGAGGCCGCCTGAAGCTGAGAGATCGAGGAGGGAAGAACTTTCCTGAGAACAGACTGAGAAAAAGAGCAAGGCGCTGAATCCTGACTCCCAGACTGTGGGAGAATAAGACATCTCTGTGTAAAGCCACCCACTCTATGGGACTTTGTTCCCGTAGCCCTAGGCAGCTCATAAGGGCCCTAGTGGCACAATGGTTAAGTATGCAGTTGTGAGTCAAGATTGCTGGTGTGAACCCACCCAGTGCTCCGGGGGAGAACAGACCTGCTCAGTAAATATGACAGCTCAGGACACCCTAGGGGTTGTTGGAAGTCAGAGCGACAACAGGGGACTCGTGCAGCTCCCACAAAATCCCCCATAGAGTGTCCTGGTTACTAGAGCCAGCAGCTGACAGTTTCTGATGTTTACCACGTGCAAGTCTACCAGACGTTATCATTCCTCCCAAATATGCTCATGGGCCAGGCGGTGGGCCTGGCAAACCGCTCAACACCTCCCGGACCAATTCTTTACAAACCCACAGGGTGCTGGAGGCCCCAGTACCCACTGCTGTAGGCTCGGATCCTTCCCAGTACCAGCTTCCTGTCAGCCCTAGACTTTCCTAAAGCAGTTTCTCCCTGCTCCCAAACCTGCTGGTGTTACTGTTCCTAAACAGCATGGTGCAGATTCCCCAGCCAGCCACGACCTGGGTTTCACCTGTATTTACAGGTGTGTCACCTACCTCTACCCCCACAGGAATCAATGAGCACATTGTTCACTGGCTGCTTCTCA